GATGACTGAGGTCATTGGTGTTGAAAGCCATCGCCTGAGAGGATAAAATATGAGTAGGGCTCATTAAGGAACAAGGCTGAAGGCCTGTTTGGCCCATGTTATGCTGACACGTATTAACAGAAGGACCATGTTCAGTGGGGGCTGAACGACTCATCTCATTTGGATGTGGAAGCAATATGTCTCTGTGCGGCCATGCAGCTTCAATCTGTGAGGCTAACGTAAATGCTACGTTACCAGAACTCGGACGGCAACCCAGAGTGCAAGTGGTAGCGATAGAAGCGTGGTTAGCATTGGTGTTGGCGACAGCGGGGCTACGCCGACGAAGTCTAGCACGAGGCTGTTGTCTTCGCTGCGAATAACGATATCCCCGAGCAGTTGCAAGACGTAATGGGCTGGTGGCACAGTCAGGACACTCTGTATTGGGTGTAACGTGAAATCCAGTCTGTTTTTGGCTCGCTCCAGGAATAAAAGAAGTGTAAGAGGGCACCGGTGGACGAGAGTCTTGTTGCAACAGGAAAACATGTTGCTGAGATGACGATGCTGAACGAGGTGGGTTAAAGACATCATTTGTAGTAGACGAGGGGAGTGGCGCAAGAGAATGAATCTGAGGAGGAAGAGAAAGCGGTGCAGAAATTAACCAGGTCGGTAGAGGATTGGCTGCTATGGTATTGGCTGGTTGACAGCTGCTGCATCTCGGTAAAAGACAAGGCCCTGAAGTACTAGGGACCTTTACTATAGGGCCACCAGCGCCGGTAGGTCCGAATGAATAGCCGTTACCCGAAAGTGTGCCAGCGCATGAAACGGAGACGGTTTGGATCCCATCGTTTCCACTGCCACCACCACTACTAGTTGGAGTCCTGTCAGCCGATGCAGCCCATATACGGGAGCAATGATCTTCTAAAATGGCCTAAAAATAGTTAAATGTTACTAGCTAGCGAAAGCCGTACTACTTTAAGAAGACAAAGGATTATGAATAAAAATTGTATTCAATCTAGTCCTAATAATGTTGCAAAAGACTTATATTTAAATTTTCCCACACTGATACGCAGGGTTATGCGAAATTCAATAGAAACGTGAGACATACTCACATCATATGTATAATATGTACCTGCTTATAACACGATAAATATTCATAGTATTGTGGGAAAATGTAAGCATCAGTCCTTTATCACCTTATGTGACCTAGAGTGAACACTGATCACATTCAAGATCTAAAGGTAGTTTAGAAAGTTACTCAAACCCAAATAAAAACTTTACCATTTTTTGAATGTGGTGAATTAGAAATATAGAAAACGAGCATCAAAATAACATAAGTTAATCGGATATCCCCAACACGACTAGTTTTCATTGTTTATAATTTATCAACCCATTAAGACAGTGGGCTTGTAATATTAAGGTTACGTTATTAAACAATGTCTATCATCGTATATATGAAGGCCAAGATGGTGTGGCCTTCTGTTTGGTAGCAGTCTCCTTTAGCTTTATAGTGTTAGTTCGACCTTGTTTTCACAACTTGGTCAGAGCGTCAGATAGACCTTGTACAACGTACCTAATCGCATGTCCTCTGCCATAGGATTAGTGACTTCCAGCCTTTGACCATTGGCTGGGTGCATTCCCAAACGTTTCGCCGGCGTTGCACAAGGTCACCCTGACGCTCCGACCAAGTTGCGAAAACAAGGTCGAACCAGATGTTTACCCTCTTCTAATATGGAGTGTATTTATGTCCACAATATTTTCCATACTTCAATTGGAAGCAGATAGAATACTTTGTTGGACACTAATTAGACGGGAAAATCCATTACTCTATAAAGATAAAATAATTAGCACTAAATCAACTTTACCTTAAGGATGATGGAAAAGCTTGAAAAAGAGAACTCATAATGAGTGATATTTCGGTTACTCCCAATGGACGACTGTAGGTATTTTCTCAACTAGGTCGTGTTGTTAGAGGGACTCACCTTGTCAGAAGTCTTGACCCTGATAATTTACGACCGCTAGACGTAAGCTCCTTATTATCATTGATTTAATTACTCCTGCTTTAACACCATAAGTATGATTCGAGAAGAAATTAAAAAGGAAACCCGGATTTGTAGGTTTCATATATACATCTCTGCCCACTGCTCCTTTCTTTAATAACTAGGACATCTAAAATGAGTCATTACCATTTTCTAACTTTATAGCGAATTTAGTCACCTTATCTAATCTATTCATTAATCCAAGAGCTTCAAAACACTCTTTGCCATGCTGCCAGATAGCAAAGTAATCATACACACATCAGACAATAGTTTCGCAACAAGGAGTGAATCTTGGAAAAGGCGACGTCAAAATTAGCCATGTATTATTAGCTAAAAGTAGGGACAAACACGATCGCATAACTAAAGTTTGTATAATTTACCGTTAAAGGTAAAATGTGTACAATTAATTATGAAGTTCGTAAATCTCATGATTAACTCACAGCTTATCTTAGTTCATGATATAATCTCTGGGTGTAGATATAAGGTTAATCCTAAGGTGTGCATGGCCCCACTTACCGGTATATTAGTGTACAGTAATACTACGTAAAAACTTACAATCAAATCTTGTTTCGTTATTTGCTCATTTATTAACTTAATAAAATCACAGCAGTTCTTTATTGAAAATTTCCCAAAACCTGAGATTTGCTTAATTGATTACAAAGGAATCGTGATGTTTTATGCATCACACCACCCTTAGTTAGGACCCCCTCTGTTGATTTTGGGTCATATGCATTAGGTCTAGGGTCGCGTTGCAGAAGTGCATTCATTTTCCACTTCTCCAATTCTTTGCAAGCAACTCTTTAGTCTCAACTTTAGTGGCTCTCTAGGATCCTTAGTTATAATTCTATACATATCAAAATCAGCTAATGCTCGTACAATCTTTTTATATAGTCTGCCTTATCCATAACGACTGCTCCTCCTTTGTCTGCCCTAAAATTATTCGTTCATGTTGTCAAAACTTCTTGGTGATATTATTAACCCATATATTCTTATTTGGTGTTCCTACATGGTATCAATTAAAAAAGAGCCTGTATTTTAATCTCACTTCTGGTTTCTTCTGCTAATCGGTCAGTAAAGAAAATAGCTTCTACCAAAAACTCTTACTACTTGGCAAAGCATAATTAAGACCCTTAGAACTTCATCTGTAGTACTGTCCAACGATATTCTGGACAGGTTAACCACTTTTCGAACTATCTTCATTTTCTCTTCTGCTGTGGATGATTACCGAATATTACTTAAAGATATAGTTCTAATTCCCAAATTCTTAAGTTTCTTATCAGGTTGATATAAGGTTTTGTGTTCATGTGGAGACTTGTCGATTCATATATGAGGGACTATCAAAAGGCGAAATCGCCTGCAAAGGTCTGTGGACGTGTGGTCACTACAGGACACCAGATAGAATGGTCTAAATCCAAACCTTTTGCCGGATATGGGGACTTGAAAGCTAAGCGAAATCGATTGAAAGTAACAAAGCAAAGAACATCCCGAATAAGAGAAACCAATGTATGAAAATAAATAAGATCCATTTCTGGTTGCTGAATAGAATTAGATAAGGAGAGAGCGAGAGAGAAAGAAAGGGAACATGAGTCACCGGATAAGAGAAGACTTGATAACCTGGAATCTGGTTTCGGGCCACTCGTGAGTGTCGCATACACGTGCACAAAGCCCCAGGATCGCAAGATCATAAACTAGCATATTTACAATGACAACAATTGTGACCACATTCGCTCCCCTTCCAACATCACTTCCACTCACACGTATGTAGGAGGAACATAAAGCAACCAACCTAACTATGGAATGTCTCATTAAGATCGCAGTGAGATAAGTAAGAAGTAATGAGGATCTCGGCCAGCCACCTTTCTTGGCTTAGTGTTTTTGGTGATTGTTCGTGAATAATAGTTCCTGGCTCTGAGGATGTCCGTTACATGATGGACAAAAGCTCAGCATGGAGTCATCGAGGTCGTAGGGAGATGACCTGAGATCTTATTCACACAATTTAACAGACAAAAGTCCAAGGCAACCCTCCTTCGGTATCCAATGAGACCAATCTACGAAACCCTTTCATCCGCATTCTCAAACGACAATATCAATGAAAAAATGAAGACAGAAAATAGTAAAAAACTTTTCCTTGCACTATTCGGTCAAATAGATAAGCGAAAACGCATTTTAGGCTACTTGATAGCCAGTTAAGTATGCTGCTTTAGTCATCAAGTAAAATTTTTTAAATCATGATCCTCTAAGCAACAAAAGAATTTGATTAAATTTCAAAAATGGTAATTGCCGAAATCCATAATAAGCCAAAGGCAAGCAGCATACACTAAAAGCCCATAAAGTGAATAATTATAAAAAATCAAGATCCTAAATAGACTTGGAAAGAGGTTAATGCGAGTGGAAAAATAGTTAAAAAGCCATACAAACCGAAAGGAATAGACTAAAATTTGTGAATAAATTATGGAGTCAGATATATGAGAACCAAGATGCTATGGCCTCTGTTTTAGTCGTAATTTTCTTTTGTTGTATAGAAGTAAGGTTACCTCGCTTTCGCAACTTGATCGAGCTATCAAGGCAACCTAGATGGAAGCACTTTGTTTGAAGTCTTCTGCTATAGTCCTAACGTCAGACGATGATAAATTCCCACATATTTAGTCGGCATCATCAGTGAGCCT